TTGTTGGGGGGTTGCTGTAGTTCTGGGCAGGAATGGAGGGTTGCCATGGTTACGTGGCTCATTGTAATGGGGTGGTTGCCATAGTGATACTGACACCCCTGTCTCCCCCAGGACCGGGTGCTCATTAACCGCATCGACCTGGTGTGCCAGGCTGTGCTGTCGGGGAAGTGGCCCTCAAGTCAGCGCAGCCAGGAGCTCTGCGGTGGCCATGGGGGAGACCTTGCCCCCCGGCTGCCAGGTGACTACGCCAGCTCGCCTGCTCCCCATGCCTGCCCCCAGGAGGAAGCGCCAGCCCTGTACACCCGGCTCCGGCACAGCCCCGAGGAGAAGGAGTTCACTGTGCAGATCAAGGACGTGAGTGGAGGTTTGGGGGTTCCAGTCCCATGGGAGGGGGGGCAGGGTGGGGGCGAGGGTTATGGGGGATGTCTCTCCAAAGGTGGTGCCTGTGATGACTTGCCATGCTAATACCGACATCTCCCTGGCAGTGCATGCGGCTCTGCCCTGGGGAGGAATGAGTTAAACTCACTTCTCATGGAGACCTGAGGTGCCTGCTCCCCTGTGGGTCTGGGGCAGTCGGGGGAGGGGGGGGTCACGCTGGGGTGGCATTGGCCCCCGTTTCCCAGCCCCCATGCTGACCCTGTCTCCCCCCCAGGAGGAGGGGATCAAGCTGACGTTCCAGAAGCATAAGCTGATCCCCAATGGCGCTCTACATGAGCGGCACCCGCACCCGCTAGGCCACAAGAAGAGCAGCAAGAAGCTGGTGGAGGTGAGGGGGTGGGAGAGCGTATCGGAGGGGGTGGGGGGTTTCTGAGTCCAGCAAGAGCTGCAGAGCCTAGGAGGGCTGTGGGGGGTTGTGTGCACAGGGGTGTCTGCCTTCATGGAAGCTGTAGTACCTGGGGAGGTGGGATTGCTGAGGGGGTCTCTGTCCTGGCTGGTGGGGCCCTGTGGGGTCTCACTCTCCTGACTGGGGGTGTCTGCCCCAGCTGGAGCTGCAGTGCTTGGAAGGGCTGCGGGGCCCTGACATCGACCTGGAGGCGCGGATCCCGGTGGTGCACAAGGCGAATGGGACATTGCTGGTGGGGGAGGCGGCCCCACGCCGAGCTGATCTGGAGGCCTGGCTACATGCACACCCTGACTTTGCCATTGACCCCCGCTTCCTGGCTGTGAGTGTCACCCCGCCCCTCCCTTCTGTCAGGGCCATGCAGGAGAGCCCAGAGCCCTCGGGCCCCAGCTTCCTGCCCTCCTGCCTCTTCACCCTGGGCTCCTGCTCCCCAGTGCCGGTCTGGAGATGGGAGAGAAATGGGCTTTGGACACGGACATGCACACATGCCTCTCTTCCTCCCTGGTGCTGCCCCCCCCCCCCCCCCCTCGCCATGTGATCTGCCAGAACTGCCCCCTCATCCTCCAGGAGTGTTCAGCAGGTCCAGGCCCCTCTGGGGATGGACTCGGATAGGCCCCAAATAGAGGGAAGCTCTGACAGCTACTGCACCCTGGTGTCATGGGGCTGCTGTCCGGTAGAGGCCCTTCAGGGAGGTGGGGCCCTGAGCAGTTGCTCCGCCTGGAGAAGCAGAGCCAGGGCCGACTAACCAGTTGTCACTTTCTCTTGCCCCGATCCCTGTGTGTCATTCCCCGTTCCCACCTCCCAGTACATGGAAGATCGGCGCAAGCAGCACAAGTGGCACCGGTGTAAAAAGACAGGCACAGTGGAGCTGAGCTGCCTGCCGGGGTTGGAGCGGGGCCCTGGGGCCAGTGGCTCCCACAACAGCAAGAAGGTGAGAGGCAGGTGCTAACCCCTCCCTGTCCACCCCCTTCCATCTCATCCAGTGTTCACCTGGCCCCCTCCCATTGATCTACCGCCCACCTTTACCCTTCACCTTCATACAGCCTGTTCTAACCCCCTGCAAGGGCAGGGCCCAGAGGCTGGGTCCGTGTCTGCCCGGACTCTCCTTGGGTTTCACCCCCAGATCCCTCCAGTCATGGTGTCTGCTCCCTTGGGAGCGGGGTGTGACAGTGAGGGGGATCTCTAACTGCTGGGTGGAGGGGTCTACTGTCCTATGGGGCTGGCCTGCCCCCAGCAAGCAGTACTGGGGGGGGGGGGGGGCAGCCTTGCAGCACTAACTCCTCCCCTCTCTCTCCCTTTCCAGGGCTTCGTGACTGACCCTGTGATGAGCCGGCTGTTGCCAGGGCCATTGGAATCTGAGGGGGGCCTGAAACAGCCACGGGGTCGCCGGGCTGGTGTGGAGCTGTCCAAGATGGTATCCCTGATGGGTGGGGCCGGGCGGAGCCAGCTGGGGGCTATGGGGCCCCTGTCTTTACACAGCCCCTTCCAGCCGGGACTAGCCCCTGGCTCTTCCCTCCCCTACATGCCCTTCCCTACAGCCTCCTCCTCTGGATCCCTGCTGCACCCAGGGTTGGGCCATGGCAGCTATCCCCCAGGCCCGCACATGCACCTGGGCTCCCTGGGGCACCCGCAGCCTGACGAGGAAGAGGAGGATGAGGAGGATGAGATAGATGACTTATCTCAGGGCTACGCCAGTTCAGAACAGGACTTCTCCCTGCTCGATGACCCTATGATGCCAGCCAACTCGGACTCCAGTGATGGTGCTAATGACGGGGGCGACTGAGCTGAACAGACGGAAGAGGGTACTGGAACTCACTGACTGTGTGGGGGATGGCTGGAGCGACCCTAACGGGGGCCCTCAGCATCCATCAAACAATCCTCTTCCCCTGCTGGGGCTCAGGTTACAGAGTGGGGGACTCTGCCCTGGCCTGGGGTGATGGGAATGGGCACAGACCCTGTCCTGGGGCAGGGGAGCCTCCCTGGGCTAGATGTATGTGGGCTTGGCCAGTAAAACTGCACCCCAGCATGAGGCCCTAGCTGGGGTCATCTCCCAACCTGCGGCATTATCGGCCACCGTGCATCCCTGCTCCTTACTTGGCCTTCAAGGGGTGGCAGCCCCAGCGGTGCAGGGCCCAATGCTGTATTGTATGGGGGGGAGGGGGGCTATATTTATATAAATATGTAATATGTCTTGTGTAATATGGCAGGGGTAGGGAGGGGCTGCTGCGGTGGGGCCGGCACCCTGTGGGGGACTGCCATGCGGCTGGAGCGGGTGAGGGGTGGGGGTGGGGCAGCCTGGGTTAGCGCTTCCTGTAGTTGGATTTTTTTTCTAATAAAAGAAACAAAATGTGCAAAAAAAAAAAACCTCCCCAACCCTGGTGTATGCGGTGGGTGTGGAGGAACTGCAGGCTGGGCAGAGGGAGCAAGTCTCTGCCTGGTTTCGCAGCAGCTGTGTCCTGTGAGCGGCCCTGGGCTCGGCTCGCCTGGCTCTGAAATGGGACTTTGTGTCTGGCTCC